TGTGTGCTGACTACCGTAGCTACGAGAGTCAACCTTGGACAGAAATGATATAATAAAGAATATGCTGCTCTAACTGTACAACATCCTTCTTCCTTCGGCTTGTGCACCATGCCGGACAGCCACTGTCAACGGATGTATACACACACTCTGTACCCTGCATCCGCTGATGTCAGGGGAAGCTGTTGGGCACAAACAAAAGTCCTTGCAAGCGAATCTTCGCCAATCACACGATTCGCTTTCACAAGAGCTGGCGAAGATAGATGAGCAAAGAGAGTCAGCAGATCGCAAGATTGAGTCACTAGAAACCCAAAAGCTGCATATTCGTCAGAAGCTGCAGAGCGTAGATGACAAGCTGCATGCTGCGCGAGAAGTGCAGCGTTCATGCTTCGCAGAACGAGATGCTTGCAGAAAAGCAGTGGCTGACATCGAGGGGCAATTTCGATTGCAGCTTCGGGAGGCGGAAGAAGAAGGACTCCTGGCTACAAAAGAGCATGAGGCTGCCAAGAAGGTGCATTCAAAAGCAACCACTATAGGGTCTGTGGCACTTGAGCATTGGTTTGACTCAATTGTGTAAGCATCAACCTATGCATAGTGTCTATAGTTCATGTGATACTGATATTATGCCCTGAGGTGAGAGAGATGGCAGCACAGGCAGAATCTTTATCATCACAAGCCCTTGCTGCAGCAGTAGATGAGCTCAAGACAAAAACTGTACAATTTGACAGTCATCTCTTGACTGTTTTGATGGATCATGTAAGCCAAGAGGAAAGGAGAATCGAGCAGCTCGGACATGAAGCTGAGCATTGTTTGCAGATTGTTCAAAAGCACAAGGCTGAAATTCAGATGCTGAATGTCATGGACCGGCCAGCACATACTGTCCTTGACTCTTTGGAACACAAGCGCCTACGCCAGACTGCTGTTGCGGCAGACACAGCTTTGAAAGCTTGTGCAGCCTTTGTCCGTGACTTTGGTCCATTTCTCGAGAAGAATGTTGAGGCGCAAGCTCGACTCAAGAAACTTGAATCAGACCATGCACAAGTGTTGCGCAAGTTGGCTCCCTGTCGTGAGTTTTTGGGAGTTCAATCCGAGGCATCGCAAATGAGAGGATCCACCCCAACACCATCCATTCCAGCAGGGACACTGGACATTCCACGACCTGTTTCACAGCTTCAAGCAACTTCTGCATCGCAGGCCATGAACAACTGCATGCCCGAACCCTCTCATACACCACCATTGTTGGAAGACCCGCAGCTAGAGCTGCGACAGCCAGGGCTGCAGCAAGATCTGCAGATCATGCCGCGCAGAGACCAGCAACAGCAATCGCAGGAGCCAGTGGATCACAAGCAGGATCCATCCAAGCCACAAGGCTACCCACAGCCACGAGTACAACCCCAAGAGACCTCGCAAACACAACAGCTGCACCAGCAGCAAATGCAACAAGAGCAGCACCAGTACCAACAACAGCAACATCAGCAACCACAACAGCAACAATACCACCCGCAATCTTTGAGCATTGAAGCCAAGCAAGCCGAAAAAACCTAGGAACATGCAGCCGGAGCAGCAACATACAACGAAGTTGGTTTCCCCACAGTGATCCAATGTTTGTTCTAGCTGGAGGAAGCTCGTCCAAAAGCTGCTCGATATCAGGTCCTTTGCTGACGATTGTGAAGTGTCTCTCAAAGTGTCGAGGCAACTCGAATGTGGAAAGATCTTTGCCGATTTGAGAAGACTCACTCAAGTGAGTCACTTATTGGTGACTCTACTTTGGATCACTCAGTTCTGGGCATCACTTCAGTGTCGCAGTTCATTTGGAGCGACAGGGACTCGGGACATGGACGGCAGTTGGACGCGATTATGGTCTTGCGGGTGTCATTAAGGTGTCACACATGTGATTAGGTCTCAAGCACAAGAAGTGCAGGCCGCAACACATGATTGTCTCGAATTCAGCGTGTGGAGCTTGCACATCATGTTTTATCGAAGCAAAAAGGCATGAGGCAGGTCCGCTAGAGTTTACTGTGCTTTCTACGGTGAACAACAGTATTTCTGTCAGAGCTAGTTGCAGGTCATCCATTTCCAATTTCGTTGTCCGTCTTTTCCGTGTAGCCCGAAAGCGTCTCGAAGTGCCCGCCGCGTCTGGGCGTCGCCCTGGGCACATGGGCACATGCCACTTCGGGCCCGTCTATCCCTTAGTTGGCTTTGGACAATGTCTCGCCTGGCAGAGACATAGTTCATCGTTTTGGCACTCATATACTTATTCTTTGTTAAAGTCCGTTCTAGGTCATGTGGCTGAGCAACCTGCCAACGAACCTGAACCCGAAGGGCGCCAGGAAGTGTGGGCAGAGTACAACGCGGAGACAACTGCCGAAGAGGACCGATTCTCGTTGTAATATGGTGTGAGCCAGGTAGTCGAAGCCAACCCAGCACACAGGACCTAAAGTGAGATTTGTTTTGATAGCGAGCAATTGTTTAGTTCAGTCTAAGATCTAATGCCCTAAGAAGATGCTCAATGTCTCGCGGAACGAACAATTTCTGTTTGACAAGTTGACTTTATATTATTCATCGGGCTCCAGGACGAGTACGAGTCTTTGCAGAAGGTTGGCCAGGCAGGGCCTACAGACATGATTGGTAAAGCCACACGACCCAAAAGACACTCTGCTGCATAGTGTGCTTCAAGGTAACCGATTACCCCTCTGGCAAGAATGAAAAGGCTGTCCAGAGCGCAAGTTGATCTTCAAAGCACATCTAAAGTGCTTCCTGCTTCGTGCCCAGGAGAAGGATGAAGCTGAGGCATTTGCTGAGAACAGCTTGGTCTTGCTGCCATGGATTAGGCATTAGACTTGTGCAGCGACGGGCGTTGTGGAGACCCTTGCTGTTCTTTATTGGTTCCCATGTGGCCCACAGGTTTGTCACAAGACTTCCCCGCAGTACATACACTGCCTGTTTGTGTGTATGGGCTTCGCTTCGTATCTAAAAACGAGAAACCCAAGACTTTTAACCGCAGTGTTGTGGCTTAAGGGTGAATGGCCTCCTTGAGTTCGGGAGGCCGCAAAGCCAAACACTTTGTGGACAACTGCGCTTGTGAGTGCTGCGCGGCTGTCCAAAAGCTGTTCTTGTTGCTCTTTTACGAAGGGTCGACAGAGCAGCTACGTGCACGAGCAGTTCCGGTCCTTCGCCAAGCCTATACACAGCTCCTGGAGGGAGCCTACTTGGACCGGCTGCAAGCCACAGCCCCTGAGCCGGCAGGGGGTATCACAGGAGGGGCAGCCTCTCCTGGGCAAGCGGGAGCACCAGCTCCTGGTGACGTCGGTGGAGAGAGACCCGGAGGTCCACATCTTCCACCATCTGGGCCAGCTGCAGCACGGCCTGGATAACGTGAACGTGAAGAAGGTGCCACTTCGTCCGTTGGTGAGGTTACCAGCCCTGGTACTCGTGAAGCAGCGGGAGAAGGTGCAAGCTCTCGTGGAGAGACACGGCCACCACTTGCCCGAAAGCGGCGTGTGAAAGAGGAGCCATCCACAGAAGAAGAGAAGGAGGCTCGTTCAGGTCGTGAGCGGCGTCGGAGGAGAGACTCTGGAGACCGTCTAGGGCGTGACAGGACCAGGGTGAAGACAGAAGAGAGAGAGAAGTCAAGGAGGAGCGAGGAGCCCAAGCCAAGCCGCCGAGAGGAGCTATTTGAAAAGGAGGAGACAAAAGAAGAAAAAGATAGAGCAGTGGCCACTGACCCAGCGGGCTTTGGCTTGAGGCCCACCTCTAAGCCGTCACCCAGTGAACCTCGAGCCGAGGGAGAGGCAGGGTCTGAAGAGACTGAGGACGTCGAGGTTGAGGAGGCTGCAGCTGCTTCAACCAGTGCTGCGGGGGCGGAGGAGGCCCCTGGTCCGGTAGAACACCACGAGGAATCAGAGGAGGACTTGGCCAGGCCGGCGGCGGAAGGCCCACCTGGGGACGGGTGGGTGGCAGCAAGCGAGGTCGATTTGAGGACGTTACAAGAGATGAAGGCAGTGCATATTCAAGGCAGGTATTGGGACAACGAGGCCGAGATCGTGGGAGAGATCACCAAAACGCTGATGGGGGAGGACGGAGCGTGGACAACAGTCCGGGTCCATGGAACGTCCACCGAGAGCATCCTCAAATACATCAGCGGTCAAGCAAAGAAGGAGTTACAGGTCCACCTGTGCGACAGCCCCTGTTCTACAATGACATGGGGGGACACTATGCTCCATGCCGACAGGATCAAGGCCGTGGAGTACGAGGCTCTGCCATGGAGCCGGAACTTAGAGATCTCAGTTCGCGAGTCGGAGAGAGACGAGCTCGAGGTCCTGAGGAGAGAAGCCGGGGAGCGCGGCAAAGGAAGAGGAGAAGCCCCGAAGGGCGAGAAGGCAAAGAAGGATCTCCCGGAAGAATCGGGAGAAGAAGAAGAGGGCCGAAAGGCAGAGAAGACCAAGGCGAAGAAAAAGGAGAGGAAGAAGTTGAAGAAGGCCCGAGACAAGGTGGTTGGCATCAAGTCCGCAGAGGCCCTCTTCGCCACGACGGGGCTCGATCCAAAAGAGGAGACTCGGCGGAGGTTACGCCGCAAGGCCAAGAAGCTGGGCAAGCGCTCCCGGAACAAGAAGGGTTCGTCAGGAACGTCATCGTCCAGCGGGAGCAGCGATTCCAGCCCAACGGAGGAGGCGGAAGCGCCGGAGGAACTGTTCACACCCCTGACGGCGACACAGCGAATCTGGCGGCGCTATCCTGGCGTCCTTACAGCAACTATGGTGTTGGAGGCCCAGCGCACTATGATGCTTCAGCTCGGGGCTTCACTCCCGGAGGCGGAGAAGGCGGGAGTGAAGCCGATTATTCTGCAGTACTGCAGGCAGCAGCTGTGCCAGAATATGAGCCCGCCGGTTGCGCGGGAGGCACTACATTGGGCGGCGACCATGGACATGCTGCTGGAAGGTCGGGTATCATCAGCGCTGGATGTGATGAGCCAGCGACTCAAGAGTTTGGAGGGCTTGTCACGAGGACTTCGAGCAGATCTACTGCGACAGATGGAGCTGCTCCCCTTGGAGAAGGGAGGCCTGGCGTCGAACACGGAGGTGAACTTGGCCGGACAAGCAGCTCATCAAGAGGCCAAGATCCTCCACCGGGCGAGCAGTGCCCCGTGGGAGCGCAGCAAAGGCAAAGAGAAGAGCGGCAAAGGCAAGTGGAAAGAGGAGAGGTCCGAGAGCAAGGGCGACAAGGGCAAGAAGGACAAAGGCGAGGGCAAGAAGAAGGCCCAATGACGAGGATGGAGCCAAGAGATCGGGAGAGTAAAACTCTCCTGGATGGAACTATGCATGGCGCTGTGACTGCGCCCGAAGAGGAGGCAGGTCTAGCTCCCGGGTGTCGGGAGTTAGAGATGGCAGAATTTGATGGGAAGGACACCACAGCATTCGAGATGACTGGACGTGGTGCCCTACCTGGATTTCACCTCATATTCCAGCGAGCGGCTGACCTGTTGCGGAAGGACGAGCAATCGCAGAGACGGCGCTCCAACAAGGACACCATGACTGAGCCCAATGCTCCCTTGTTTCCGCTGCCCGTGGAGGCACAGTACTGGGCGACGTTGATGGAGTCCGGTCACCCGCTAGCTGATGGCAAGGTGCTCGCAGGAGTGGTCCGTGGCTTGAATCATTTGGCTGGATTCGCAAGCGCTGACGCGCGACTGGAGGGCCGCAATTCTTCGCAGGCGACTACGCCTACCAGATCGACCATGCAGGCGCAAGTTGAAAAAAGGCTAGCTGCAGTTGTGAGTCGAAACCATTTTTGGAAAGAAACGGACACGGAGGTTTGCTTTGACACGTTCTTTTTAAAGAGAAAAGTTGACTATATGGGGGAAGAGGTTAAGATTGCGCAGCGCATGACATGGGCGGCTATCCAAGAGTCGCTCCCTGATGCCGTGGGCAGCCTGCCGTTGGAGAAATTTTGCCGACTCGGAACCTTGGAGTATGTGAAAAACTTCGAAAAATACTTGGTCCCTCGGGGTATTCAAGTTAGGCCCAAACCACCACGTGTCATGCGCAGTGACTTGGAGTGGCCCCAGATTTGTGCTGGACTGGTGAGCAAAGGATTGTGCGAGGTCTGGCCCATTGAAAGGTTGCGCCATATTGAGGGGCAGCCCTTGCTTAATGGCATGTTTTCGGTGGGCAAGGGGGAGTTCAAGGATAGCCTGGAAACTCAACGTTTGATCATGAACCTCGTGCCAGTCAATGCACTATGCAAGAGCCTCACAGGGGACGTGGGAACGCCCCCGGCGATTTCAGGAATGAGCGGGTATCTCCTGGACCAGGGAGAGGTGGCCCTTCTGTCGAGTGAAGACATACGGTGCTTCTTCTACCTGTTCGCCATCCCTGAACAATGGAAGGCTTACAAGGGGTTCAACAAACCAGTGCCAGAATCCTTGGTACCAGCTGAACTGCACGGGAGGGCTTGTGTGCTAGTCTCCCGGGTGTTGCCTATGGGATTCCTGAACTCGGTTAGCATTGCACAGCACATCCACCAGAATGTGGTACGGTGGAGTGCGATGTCAGGTGACTTATATGTGGGCGGAGAAGGTGAGCTACGAAAGGACAGGCCTATGTCATCGGCTTCCAACCTCTATAGGATATACTTGGACAACTTTGACGCGCTTGAACGAGTCTCCTCAAGGTTGGCCGGGGAAATCAAAGGCACTGTCAAGCCGCAGGTAGAACAGCTCAGGCAATGCTATGAAGAATTGGGCCTGCCAAGGCATCCCAAGAAGGCGGCTCAACGGGTCACGGGTCACTTTGGGTGAGATGCAAGGTGCCCTGGTTGACGGGGACCTGGGCTATGCCATGCCGAAACCGCAAAAGTTGGTACAATACTGCAGGCTGGGTTTTGAACTCCTGGTGCGAGGGCAATCCACCCTCCGGGAGTTGCAAGTCGTGTGCGGGGGCTTCGTGTACATTGCTATGTTCCGCCGACCCTTGCTGGGCAGTCTGAACTCAGTCTTCGAGCACATGAAGAGCTTTGATGGGGAGGCGCCAGTGGTCAGGTTAGCATTACCCTATCAGGTGAAGATTGAGATTGCGCGTTTCATCCTGCTCAGCCCCCTTGCCCAAATTGATTTCAGGATTCCAGTGGACGGAGAAGTTACGGCTTCGGACGCGTCGACTACAGGAGGGGGCCTTGGTGCATCAGTTGGACTGACTTCCTACGGGGTTAGCGCAGCCGACTGCCCAGCTCGTGGAGATCTTCCTGAAGAGCATGACCTAGTGCAAGTTCTCAGCGTGGGGCTGTTCGATGGAATTGCGGCCCTGCGGGTGGCTTGTGACGTTGTGGGACTACCCATGGCTGGGCACGTGAGCATAGAGATGGATCCGCGGTGTCGCAGGGTGGTGGAAAGCTTCTTTCCTGAGACGGAGTTCCACGACGATGTCTGTGCTTTTGGTGACGAGCAGGTTCAGGCGTTGGCTTTGCAGTACAGCAATGTTGGGCTCATCCTGGTAGGAGCTGGACCACCCTGTCAGGGTGTGAGTGGCTTAAACGCCGACCGCAAAGGCGCATTGCGGGATGAGCGAAGCTGCCTGTTCAGAGAAGTGCCCCGGATAACCCAGCTTTTCAGGCGGGCTTTTTTGTTGGGCCCAGGTACATGAGCTCATTGAGAATGTGGCCTCGATGAGTATTGAGGATAGAGCCATCATGAGCCGGGAGTTTGGCCGAACTCCTGTGAGAATTGACGCAAAAGGGATTTCACTGTGCGCCCGTCCACGATTGTACTGGATTAGCTGGGAGCTTCCGGAGCAGCACGATGTCGAGGTTGGTGAATGCTCAGGTGAAGGTTGGAGTCTCTGCCAACCGTTGCTGTTGAAGGGAAAGGTGGACGGTAAGGGCCTCCTGATGCCGGGATGGTCACTTGCTGATGGCTGTCACCTACCAACTTTGACGACTTTGAGACCAAGAGCAACGCCAGGACGGCGCCCGGCAGGGATACAACACTGTCAACCACACGAAATTGCGAGGTGGGAGGCAGACCAACATCGTTTCCCGCCGTACCAATACAAAGATGACCATGTCTTGTGGAACCGCCAAGGCATGTGGCGACGACCGGGCATCCAAGAACGGGAGGCCTTGATGGGGTTTCCCATTGGTTACACGAGGCAATGCGTGCCCAAAGGCGACCAAAAAGGAGAGAACTATGAGGATATCCGTATGAGCATGATCGGAAATAGTTGGCATGTCGGCGTGGTGAGCTGGTTGGTGGGACAACTATCTCGGTCTCTCGGAATGGGAGGTCTTTCAGCCGTACAAGACATTATTGATGCTACTACTCCAGGGCACGCCCGTGACTTCTGCTCTATGCTACTACGTCCGCCGCATCAGGGACGCCTGGGAACGGGTGACTCTGACTCTGCGGTCAAGCTAGTACGCAAGTGCTTTGGATTCTCCTCAATGAAGGGCGAAGACCTCATGGTTCACACAGGTACAGACCCGGCTCCCAAGTACTTCCGCCTTCGAGCTAGCGTTCCGGGACGGTTGTGGAGATGGCGTGACATTTCAGGGTGGAGGTGGCGACGTTCGGGAGAACACATCAATCTCCTGGAACTACGAGCCATTCTCACCAGCATCAAGTGGAAGCTGTCACGCTCCAGACGATGGGGAGTTCGTTTTCTTCACCTCACGGATAGCATGGTCTGCATGCATGCCTTGACCAGAGGTCGAAGTTCAAGCAAAAAGTTGAGACCTATTATCGTGCGGCTGAACGCTCTGATGCTTGCTGGAGATCTTCATCCCCTTTGGGGCTACATACATACATCGCAAAACCCAGCTGACCGGCCCAGCCGAAGGCCGGTTAGGAAGAAATGGGGAAAGTAGGGCGGACCTTCCTCGAAGGTCACAGCAAGCAAGCCAGACAGGTTCAGCGCAAGCAACTTGGGTCTCTCAAATCCCTTACGGTTTCGCCTAAAACCAACCAAAGGTACACCACTGCCAGGCAGAAGTTCTACGACTTTCTTGACACCAATCATCTTAGCCTTCCACAAAAGCGGGAGCACCTTGACGGGCTTCTGAGCGAATACATTGAGTTCTTGTGGTCCGAGGGCGAGGGCCGGGGACTGGCCTCGGACACGGTTGCCGGACTGCAGGACGCAGATCCTAAGCTTAAGGGGCAGTTCCCTGCTACGTGGAGACTATTGAAGACGTGGAGTACAAATGAAATCCCGAATCGTGCACCACCCCTTACCGAGACAGCCGTTCATGCGATGGTCGGTTGGAGCTTCCTGCATGGACATTATGGCTTCGGAATTTCTCTCCTGCTGGCCTTCTATGGCATGCTGCGAACAGGGGAAGTGACAGAAGTGAGAAATAGCCACATTTTTATGAAATCAGCTAGCTCTCCTGCAGTAGTGAGCCTAGGTCTCACGAAGAGTGGAAAGCGGGCAGGAGCAGCGGAGTCAGTCACTATCACTGCTGATGTAGCCTTAAAGTGGCTGTGGCAGTGGAAATCACTGGCTGAGCCTTCAGCACGATTTGTCGAATCAGTGTCTGCTTGGAGGACATTATTTAAGACAGCCGTAGCGGCCTTGGAGATTACGCTTTTTGAGTTCAGGCCCTACTCCCTGCGTAGGGGGGGCGCGACCTTTTGGTTCGCAAAACACGGGTCGTTCGATAAGCTTCTCATTTCCGGGCGTTGGCAAGCCGCTAAAACCGCCCGAATTTATATTAATGAAGGCATGGCGGTGCTAGCTGACCTTAAACTTCCCTCAAAGAACTTGACCCCCTTTGTCCGAGCGTTTCACTCTCACCGTTTTCCACAACACTTGAACTCGCGCTCACGCGCAAGAAAAGAGGGGGCGTGGAAGGAAGTCTTAGTTTGCCATTTTTTGCCCACAAAAAAGATTAC